AAAGAAAGAGAGATGGGGAAGCCAAAAAGAAGAGCTGAAACTCCCCTCGTCTGCAGGCCTCTGCACACTTTGGTATGGCGCAGCTGCACGCACACAATTTGTGTATATATTTATATCTCCCCCTCACTTGCGCCTCTGCGTGAACGTGCGCCGTGGACGCGCGGGCACGTGTGTGTGTGTGTGGCACAGTAGCAAAGTGGTTGTTGGTCGCTTTTCTACTAGGTTGTGTGTCTGTCTGTGTATATTTATATATATATATATATATATACGGCTACACGAATACATAAATACGTAAGTAATTATTGATTTTTGTGTTTCTGAAGGATGTTGACCCGTCTTCGCAGTGCGGCGGTGCGTGGGGCCGCCGGCGTACGCGCCGCCTCCGGGGCCTCCACCGCGGATCACAAGGGCCGCGTCGGCTACGTCTCGCAGGTTATCGGCGCCGTCGTGGATGTGCACTTCGCGGAGGGTGTACCGCCGGTGTTGACCGCATTGGACGTGGTTGACAACCTCGGCCGTGACGAGCCCCTGACGCTGGAGGTTGTGCAGCACTTGGACGCCCACACGGGCCGCTGCATTGCGATGCAGACGACCGATTTGCTCAAGCTGAAGTCGAAGGTAGTCTCGACTGGCGGCAACATCTCAGTGCCTGTAGGTAGAGAGACGCTTGGGCGCATTTTCAACGTGCTGGGTGAGGCCATTGACCAGCGTGGCCCGGTTGGGAATAAGCTGCGCATGCCCATTCACGCCGTGGCGCCCAAGCTGGCGGATCAGGCGGCAGAGGACGCCATCCTTACGACTGGCATCAAGGTGATTGACCTGATTTTGCCGTACTGCAAGGGTGGAAAGATTGGTCTCTTTGGCGGCGCTGGCGTGGGTAAGACGGTTATTATCATGGAACTTATTAACAACGTTGCCAAGGGGCATGGTGGGTTCTCCGTCTTCGCCGGCGTTGGTGAGCGGACGCGCGAGGGGACGGACCTCTACCTGGAGATGATGCAGTCCAAGGTTATTGACCTCCAGGGCGAGTCCAAGTGTGTGCTGGTGTACGGGCAGATGAACGAGCCCCCGGGCGCCCGTGCCCGTGTGGCGCAGTCGGCGCTGACCATGGCCGAGTACTTCCGTGATGTGGAGGGGCAGGATGTGCTGCTCTTTATCGACAACATTTTCCGCTTCACACAGGCCAACTCTGAGGTGTCGGCGTTGCTGGGCCGCATTCCCGCCGCCGTCGGCTACCAGCCCACCCTTGCGGAGGATCTTGGGCAGCTGCAGGAGCGCATTACCTCCACCACGAAGGGCTCCATTACTTCTGTGCAGGCTGTGTACGTGCCCGCCGACGACATCACCGATCCTGCGCCGGCCACAACCTTCTCCCACCTCGATGCCACCACCGTGCTGGATCGTGCCGTCGCCGAGTCTGGCATTTACCCCGCCGTGAACCCGCTGGAGTGCGCCTCGCGTATCATGGACCCCGATGTGATCAGCGTGGACCACTACAACGTGGCGCAGGACGTGGTGCAGATGCTCACCAAGTACAAGGAGCTGCAGGACATCATTGCGGTGCTCGGCATTGACGAGCTGAGCGAGGAGGACAAGCTCATCGTGGACCGAGCGCGGAAGGTGACGAAGTTCCTCTCCCAGCCCTTCCAGGTGGCCGAGGTGTTCACCGGCATGACCGGCCACTACGTGCAGCTGGAGGACACCATCGAGTCCTTCTCCGGCCTGCTGATGGGCACCTACGACCAGGTGCCGGAGATGGCCTTCTACATGGTCGGCGGCATCACCTCGGTGCTCGAGAAGGGGAAGCGGATGGCGGAGGAGGCCGCCGAGCTCGAGAAGCTCCGCCGCGCCCGCGCCGCGCAGGCCAGCCAGAAGGAGTAAACCCAGCGACTCCCCCCTTCCCCTGCGCGGCGGCGGCGACGAGAGCGCAGCCGAAGCAGAGGAGGAGGATGAGGGGGGAGGGGAGGGAGAAAAGGAGCGAAGGGGAAAGGGAGTGCGCAAAAAGTAAAAGTAAAGGAAAAAAAAACGGAAGGAAATCCCTAGTGCCGCAGCAACAAATGTCTCCATTCCACACGGACAAGGAAAACAACAACCACCACTAAATAGAAGAAGTAAAAAAAAAGAAAAGAAAGAAAA